ATATGTATATATATAGGCATACATACATAAATACATACTTAAATGAGTGTAGGCAGGCATGACCTCTTCATCGATATGTATAATATTGCTGAATTATTCACATATTGGATAGTATACTTGCGTAGAACACAAAGCAGTAAGCGCTTGAACCTACCATGTCCAGTAGGACTGTCCCTCCTGTGCGTATAGCAATGTCGATGTATTCCAATATTTCTGACCACAACTGAGGCGAACCCCGTACCATAGGCAGCAGGTACGACAGCGTCACAGCCACAACGTGCTGATGTAGTTGTAGTAGGGTAGGGTTAATAGGCTGTAGTAGTAGTAATGTGCGGCAGCAAACACACATGTGTACGTCACAACCACAATGCGGTTGAATATGGGGAGTGACGGAGTTTGATCGGTCTTTATTATCATGTGGCAGCGAATAGATGTGTTGTCGAGATGTGTTGTCGAAATATAGGGGGTCTGTTATGAAGCAGATATTCATACCCTCCTAAATAGAACAAGGAGGCTATGAGATACGTGAAACATAACCTATGGCGTGCTTGCTCAATGCTAAGTGATATATTCTCATGTAAAAAAACCTCGCCAGTTGTGTCTTGTAGTGGCTATACGGGCTCCGATAGAATTTGAGAATTTCAGGAATTGAGGTATTTCTGGAACTTCAAACTCAGATCCTAAACCTTGGCAATTTCCTTAATATGTTAAGCACGAACATCAAATATATGTAACCACAACTGAAATGAGGTGGACGACAGAACAGATAGGCACCAGAAGAGACCGAATCATCCCATATTCTTGTCTATGTAACACTTTGCTTGTGTATTTGAGTTGATCAAAGCCAATGACCCTACGTCAATGCTACATCAATGAGACCGCCTATGATATCCTTTGTATAAAGCCCTTTCTTTTGCGTATGTAGATTTGTACAAGCCAATGATTTCACACCAACAATATGCAATCCAAACTGCCTCGACAAACATACAGTGCGGGGCAGGTAATACCATAATATTGAGTGATGTTAACTTGTACAGAGACCTTCAAAAACTGCAAAAAAACACCAACTGAGCTTTCTCTATCTAGCATGACATGCGTATGTACAGATACCACCCCGTTTACCCGTTTGCCTGGTTGCGGCACTATCGCTCTTGTGTCGGGGGTCTCTTCGGTACCAGACGACGGATACCCCATCTGCAGTCACGGGTTTAAAAGGTCGAAAAAAGTGTAGTTTAAATATGACGAAGGAAAAAAACCATCGTAGTGTACTTATAAAATGCTAGGTACAGGAAAAAGGTACCCCGTCTAAAGGAACGTTTCAATGATAGAAAGAAAGTGTGAAGGTATGAAATGCTCGTTACAAACAAGGACTATCGTATTAACAGGTACAGATTCAATCATAGGATAAAGTCCGATCCACATTTATTGTGCCGAAAATATATACATCAGGATACATGCATACATACGAGATGACTGCCTGTTGCATTGGGCACGAGCGCGTATGAGTTACTCCTCAACCGCACGGGGGCAGTCTTCTTCTCCGCAGTTTGAGTGTTGCTCAATTGCTTCAGAATTGGCGGGAAAGAAGGACCCATTAAGTTGGCCATTTTGGATGATACTGACTCCACGGGATTGGGAGCTTGAGCTGAATAAAACGAGAATTGGGAAACAAGAACATTAGGAGAAAACGAGATGGCATTTTCGGAAATTCGACACCCGAGTTATACACACAT